TGCGGGTTATGTTTCTGACAGAGGTCTGATAACCAGAATTCACAGAAAACTCAAACTTATCAATAAGAAAAGAACAAGTGATCCCATTTCATTGTGGGCAAGAGACTTGAACAGAAGCTTCTCTGAAGAAGACAGGTGCATGGTCTACAGACATGTGAAAAAATGCTCATCATCTTTAATCATCAGAGAAATGCAAATCAAAACCACTTTGAGATGTCATCTAACTCCAGTAAGAGTAGCCCACATAACAAAATCCCAAAACTAAGATGTTGGCATGGATGTGGAGAAAAGAGAACACTTCTGCACTGCTGGTGGGAATGCAAGCTAATATGTTCTTTTTGGAAAGAAATTTGGAGAACACTCAGGGATCTAAAAATAGACCTGCCATTTGACCCTGCAATTCCTCTACTAGGAGTATATCCAAAAGACCCCAAATCACTTTGCAACAAAGACATTTGCAGCAGATTATTCACTATAGCTCAAATCATAATTGCCAAGTATGGAAGAAGCCCAAGTGCCCATTGACCCATGAATGGATTAATAAATTGTGGTATATGTACACCATGGATTACTATGCAGCCTTAAAAAAAGATGGAGACTTTACCTCTTTTATGTTTACATGGATGGAGCTAGAACATATTCTTCATAGTAAAGTATCTCAAGAATGAAAGAAAAAGTATCCAAAGTACTCAGTACTTTTATGAAACCAATTTATATTTACTCACACTTTCTTATGAAAGATAGATCACAACTATAGCCCAGGATGAAAGAGAGAAATGGAGGGGGGAGATTTGATAGAGGGAGGGTAAATGGTGGGACCACACCTATGGAGAATATTGCAAGGGTACAAGTCAAATCTATCATGTATAGAACATAAATATATTAACACAATAATCAAGTAAATGAGGCCAAAGCTATATTAATTAGTTTGATGTAAACAATCCAAATTGTATATAAAAAATCAACACATTGTACTCCACAAATGCATAAATGTATTCATGATCTATGTGTATATGACTTAATAAGAGGAAAAAGAAAAAAAAGAAACCTGGAGCCAAGATGGAATTATATAAACTGGAAGTAGAGGGGATAGGATAGTTTCCCAAGACATATACCCTTTTCTCAAGGGGGATAGTTGAGAAGAATTGCTGATTAGGGAAAACAAAATGCAAACAATGAATGAATATATTACTGCTTATTGAAGAAACCTTAAAATCCAAGATTCATTCATTTTTTTCTTCATGAAATTACTTTTGGTTTCTTCAGGTAGTGTTTCATACTATTCCAGAAGTTTGAGTTTATTCCTCTAATAACGTTCTTATATGGCCAAAGGCTCTTGTTTATACAATTTTATATCTAGAGAGGACTTATGGGAAGGTTTAGTCCAACTTCCTTTCTTTTATTAATGAAGAATTATGCTCAGAGAGGATTGGTGATGTGTAAAGCTTTCAACAAGAGTTAATGATAGATTAGGACTAGAATCCAACCACCCAACTCAGTACTTTTGCTGCTATGTTAGAGGCTTTTGAGTTTTTAAAAAAAATCCATGCAAGCTGTTATATAAAATGTATTTACTTGGAGTTGCTTTGATGGGGCCTGATCTTCATCCATTAGCTATCTTCACCCCACCCTTTCCTGCCTAAAGTGACTTCTCGGAAATAGAAAATGGAGACCCCATTTGAAATTTTGGATGAAATTCTTTTGGTCAATATCATTATAGAAAACTCTTTGCTATGTGTTTGTTTTGTTCCAAAATGAACTCCATTTGCAGACCATCATGTCAGTCATCATGATGTCTCTTTTAGGTGGGTGGTTTTGGAGGTATAGGCACAAGGGCTTTGGAGTTAATGAAACCTAGGTTCAAGTTTTTGCAGTGTTTGTTCTTGGCTCAGTTGCTTGTTCTCTCAGATACTTCATTTATAAAATGGGGAATATGAGACTTAGGGCTGCAGCATTTCCTGACTCTGGGTTACCACTCATAATGTTGTATTCTGTGTTGTATCCTGGGGGCACTGTTTACATTGCAGTGTAAACCCTAGGGGTTTGTGCAAAACAATTCTGGTACAGAATCAAACTCAATGAACTTTTCTGAGGATCAAATAATATAACAAATAGAAAGTATATGGCACAGTGTCTGGTGTAAGGTTGATGCTCAAAGAATCTCTCTGGAAATTGGTGAGAAGAGAGGTTGATAAAATTATTTAAAAAGTTGAGATAAACTGAGAAAGATGAAATTTAACATGGCAGAAAGATCATCATCTTTGAAAGATTTTAAGAACTTTACTTCTCAACTTTATATAAATTTTTATTTATTTTTGGCCAGGTAGTTAAAAAACTGGTTTAACGATACTTCTAGTCTAAGTGTCTTATAAACACGCAAACACTTAAATTATGGAAAGTCATTTTATATTTGTACAAACAATTTAAATATAACCCCATTAATTTCTGCCAGTCTTATAAAATTAAATGACAGATTTTGAAAGATATATTTTAGACTCCAAAGGTTCTAAACCAGAGGTTTCTAGCCTTTTTCCCTCTCTGCCACATGAAAGCTAAAAATATCCTCACAAAATTAGCATTTAGCCCATGGGCCACAAGTTGGACATATGTGCTTTAAACTATTTGAAATGTTTGTTTCAGCTAATTCCAGAAATCTCCTCCTTGACTTGGTTTACCACCATTGTGCCTTTGGTCCTGGTGATAACTATGACAGCTGTCAAAGATGCCACAGATGACTATGTGAGTATTGGCTCTTCGGTATTCTTGGGGTCTTGATTTCAACTGTGGCTTCTTGGAAATAGAATATGGAGATCTATTTGAAATTTTGGATGATGTTCTTTGGTCAATACCATATTAAAACTCTTTTGTTACATGTTTGGTGAATATTACAGGTGTAATTGAACCAGAGCTCCTTAAAAGGAAGAGGGCTTCAATAACTAGATTCACTCTCTCATTTTATAGATGAGGGAACTGAAACCCATAAGGAGCTATTAATTTGCTAATGATCATTCAAAAAATACATGAAAGAGCAAAATTACAGTACAACCTACATTTACCCAGGAAGGTCATGTGTCTTTGTCTGAGTGTTGTGAAGTGGGAAATATTGGGCACAAATACAGGTATTCTGCCTAATACCAGAGTATTGTAACCAGAGTTACAAAATAAGATAGCTTCAAAATTTAGGAAATTTATGTGAATAAGTAAGGTATAAAATAGTAGAGAGTTTTGAATGCTGCATAACCCATAGTAGTGAATTCGCTATACACTTTCTGGAAAACCAAACATTCTAAATGTAGACAAATTATATTCTCACCTTGGGTAATTACATGTGCCTCAGCCTCAATGACTGTCTATATGTCAGTGACTTATATGCTGTGTTCCTATCTCAGATCTCACCTCTGAGCTTGTACCCACAGTCTCTGTTGTCTATTTTTAACCCATCTGTGTCTTTAAGGTGGATTTCTTGCAGATAGTATATATACATATATTTTTAAAAAATGGGTAATATTATTTATTTGTTTATTTTGCAGCAGAATACACCATTTATTAATGCACTCTCTTCTATGGTGGTGTTCTATGCTGTCCCCAAACCATTCCCATAGTAACAGCAACTATCACCAGTCATAGATCACCGTAACAGATACATAATAATAAAAAGTTTGAAATATTACAATAATTATCAAAACGCGACACAAAGACATTCAGTGAGCACATTTTTAGAAAAATAGTGCCTCTAGACTTGCTCAGTGCAGGGTTGTCACAAACCTTCAAATTGTAAAAAAAAATCTGCAAAGCGCAATAAAAGGAAGTATCCCTGTATTCCCATCTAAAATTTATTGTGCATCAGAATCACCTACAAGGCCTACAGAAATATAGATTCCACCCCGTTAGTTTAACTCCAGAGTTGAAAACTGATTCTAACCATTATATCATATTCTATGGGTAATATTTTAAAAAATTATTTAAAAATAATACTCTTGATACATAGTAATTGCACATATTTATGGAGTACGGCCTGATGTATCAATGCATGTCTACATTGTACAATGATCAAATCAGGGAAATTACCATATCCATGGCTTTAAACATTTATCATTTCTTGTAGTGATAACATTTAGAATCTTTTTTCAGCTATCTTGAAATATACATTATATTATTATTTGCTATAGTAACCCTGCTATGCAATAGAATAGTAGGCCTTATTCTTCCTGTCCAACTGTAACTTTGTTCTTGTTGACTAAGCTCTCCAAATTCCCAGCCTCTCAATACTCCCTGCCTCTGGTAATCACTATTCTACTGCCTACATTTGTGAAATCAACTTTTTTAGATTCCCTATACAAATGAGATCATACAGTGTTTGCCTTTGTATGCTTGGCTTATTTCACTTAACATAATGTCCAGGTACACCCATGTTGATGCAAATGATAAAATTTCATTCTGTTTTATGACTGAATAGTATTTCATTCATATATATATATATATATATATATATATATATATATATATCTACTGTGTTTTCTTTATCCATTCATCTGTAGCTAGGTATTTAGGGTGATCTGAAAACATATGCTTTTAAATTGGAGTGTTTAACCCATTTTAAAGTGATTATCACCCCAATTAGGTTTAAATCTATCATCTTTCTGTGGTTTTCTATATTCCTCATCAGTTCTTTGCTCCCCTTTTTGGCCTACTTTCAGATTAATTGACTATTTTTGTGATTCCATTTTATCTGTATTATATGCTTAATATACAGTATTTTCATGGTTTTCTAGATTTCTCACAGTCTACCTGTGAAATCTGGCTTCACGGCACTGGCTCTTATTCACACTCTTCTTTGCTAGCCTATATGGGAGATGCAAAAATGAAATAGAGACAGAAACTAAAAAAATTTTAAAAAGCTTAAAATCCAATAGGTGAGATGGGACATGTATATGAATAACAATAATAGAGGTAAAAATGTTATAAAAATCACAAAAAAATCAAAGTGCTTTGGCTACTGTGGGAGGAAGATGGCTTCCTTCAATGGCTGGGTTAGTAGTATGGGGGGAATATGTGAAGGAGAATTAGGGAAAGCTGTATGAAGAAAGTGAGAACCCAGTCCTGCTAAGAGTGGTTGAATGTGGGAAAGAGATGGGAAGATTTTTCCAGATCAAGTTGGTTTATGTGACATTTCCTCTTAGTTTTATGTATATATTTTTGACAGATCAGCAATTTTATATTTCATTTTAAAATTACATATACACATATGTTTGTCATCATATGTCATGTTTTATGGGGTATGTAAGTTATAACTCTCTTCACTCTTAATGAAATGCCTGACTTATTTTAGGGCACACTATGTGACTGTAACTTTTAGTGTTGGATTTTTTAAAATTTTAGAACAATTTCAGGAGTATGGGTGGTTTTTGTTACCTGGACAGATTGCATCATGCTGAAGTCAGCTTTTAGTGTACCTGTCACCAGAATAGTGTGTGTGGTACCCAATAAGTAGATTTTTATCCTTCACCAACACCCTTTTTTTCTTAGTTTTTGATGTCTGTTATACCATTTAATGACCGTATATATCCCTTGTTTAGCTCCCACTTATAAATGAGAACATATGGTATTTGTTTCTCCATTTCTGAGATCCTCCACTTAGGATAATTGTCTCCAGTTCTATCCAAGTTGCTGCAAAGGACATTATTATTTTTTTTTCTTTTTATGGCTGAGTAATACTTCATGCTATCTATATACATCTTGTTTTCTTTATCTGCTTAGCAGTGGATAGGTGCTCAGGTTATCTTTGTAATTGTGAGTTGTGCTGCAGTAAACATTTGGGTGCAGGTGTTGTTTTTATAAAATGACTTCTTTTCCTTTGGGTGGAAACCTAGTAGAGGAACTGCAGGATCAAATAGGCCTACTTTTAGTTCTCTGAGGAATCTTCAAACTCTTTTCCACCGTGGTTGTACTATTACTAGTTTACATTCCTATCAACAGTATCTAAGTGTTTCTTTTTTACCACATCCATGTCCATGTCTATTGTTTTCTGACTTTTTAAATAATTGCTGTTCTATATGGGTAATGTACTTCATTGAGGTTTTAATTTGCATTTCTTTGATAATTAGTGATGTTGGGCATTAATTCATGATTTTTTTCCCATTTGTCTATTTTCTTTTGAAAAACATCTGTTCGTGCCTTTTGCCCACTTTTCTTTCTTTCTTTTAAAATTTTTTTTTCCTTACATATACATGTGTATATTAGGTTTCTACTTTTGCCTTCACAGAATTAAAAAGGCTAAATTTAATGACAGTAACAATGTTTAACATAAGGACTGAGAATAAAAACCTCATAAGGAACAAATGAAGATAAATACATTCAGAAAAGAAATCAGATGATTGCTGCAACAAAATATTAAGCAATAATAATTTTTGCCCACTTTTCGATGGGATTTTTTTTTTTTATGCTGATGTGAGTTTTTCATAGATTCTAGGTACTAACCCTTTGTCACTAGAATAGTTTGTAAATGCTTTCTTCTAGTCTGTGGATTGTCTGTTTACTTTGTTGATTATTTCTTTTGCTGTGCAGAAACTTTTTAATTTAACTTCTATTTATTTATTTTTGTTGTTGCTGTATTGCTTTTGAGGTCTTAGTTATAAATTCTTTGTCTAGGCCAACATCTAGAAGAATTTTTCCTATGTTGTCTCCTAGAATTATTACAGTTTCAGGTGTTATATTTAAGTCTTTAATCCATCTTGAGTTAATTTTTAGATATGGTGAGGGACAGGGATGCAATTTCATTCTTTTGCATGTGGCTATCCAGTTTTCACAGCACTATTTATTGAATAAGGGGTCTTTTCCTCAGTGTATGTTTTTGTCTGCTTTGTTGAAAATCAGTTGGTTATAGTTATATGGCTTTATTTTATGGATTCTCTATTCTTTCCCATTGGTCCATGTGTCTATCTTCATATCAGTACCATGCTGTTTTGGTTACTATAGCCTTGTAGTGTAGTTTGAAGTCAGGCAATGCAATGCCTCCATATTTGTTGTTTTTGCTTAGGATTGCTTAAGTTATTCAGGCTCTTTTTTTGCTTCTATTTGAAGTTTGGAATTTTTTTTTTTTTGCAGCTTTTGGCCAGGGCTGGGTTTGAACCTGCCACCTCTGGCATATGGGGTTGGCGCCCTACTCCTTTGAGCCACAGGCACCACCCAAGTTTGGAATTATTTTTTTGAGATCAGTGAAAAAAGATGTTGGTATTTTGATGGGAATTGTGGTGAATCACTAACTCACTTTGGGAAGAATTAAGAATTCTTTCAATTCATGAGCATGGGATGTTTTCTCATTTGATTTTGTCATCTATGGTTTCTTTCATCAGTGTTTTCCTGGTTCTCCTCATAGAGATCTTTCACCTCCTCAGGTGAGTTTAATCCTAGGCAGTTTATGTTTCTTGCATTTATTATAAATGGTATACAGTTCTTGATTTGACTTTCAGATTGGCTGTTATTAGTATATAGAAATGCTACTGATTTGCATACATTAATTTTGTAACTTGAGGCTTTACTGAACTTCTTATTAATTTTAGAAGCCTTTTGATACGGAGTCTTTAGGATCTTTGGCAAACATGGATAGATTGACCTCCTTTTTTCTGATTTGGATGCTCTTTCTCTTGTGTTTGCTCTTTTCCTTCCTTCCTTCCCTTCTTTTCACCTGATTGTTCTGGCTAGTGGTGATAGTGGGCATTCTGGTCTTGTTACAGTTCTTA